TATATATATATATATATACACACACACACACACACACTCCTATCTCAATAGATTAAGAATATTTCTAATATATATAAGATCTTGTAATTAGATCTCTAATTAGGTTATCTAATATAAAGCTTCTTAATATACGATATTTAAATCTAATATAAAGCCTCGAGATTAATTCCTGAAATTCACAACAAGAAGATTAGAAGATTATCTCAATAGATTAAGAATATTTCTAATAAATAAAAGATCCTGAAATTAGATCTATAATTAGATTATCTAATGTAATGCTTCTTAATATACGATCTTTAAATACGCACACACACACTCCTATCTCTAATATATAAAGAATATTTATAATATATAAAAGATCATATAATTAGATCTCTAATTAGGTTATCTAATATAAAGCTTCTTAATATATGATCTTTAAATCTAATATAAAGCCTCGAGATTAATTCCTGAAAGTCACAACAAGAAGAATGGAAGATTATCTCAATAGATTAAGAATATTTCTAATATATAAAAGATCTTGAAATTAGATCTATAATTAGGTCATCTAATATAAAGCTTCTCAATATACGATCTTTAAATCTAACATAAAGCCTCGAGATTAATTCCTAAAATTCACGACAAGAAGATTAGAAGATAGCTTGGCATTGACCATCAACAGTAATTTTACTAATGGATAACAAGTTACACGATAGATTAGAAACACGGAGAATATCGTGAAAGGTTAAAAACGATGAGAGTTTAACAATTCCTATCCCGATAATTACATAGAGATAATTATTGACGATTTTGATATTTTTATTGCCTACATATGATTTAAAGGAGGAAAATAATTTAGAACTATCAGTCGTGGGATTAGTTGTGTCAGAATCAATAATTCAAGAATGAGAAAAATTAGGAGAATCAGCTAAATAGTGGTTAGAGAGTTATCCTTCTATACTTAAGAGAAAATCAGAGTCAGTGATAATTTTAGAGATGGAATAGTTTGTGCAAGTGCTCTAATTGCTCCTTGGTGAAAGGGATTGCATTCGAATTAGCAGATGACTCCTAAGTTTCTTCAGCAGAGACTTGATAAGCTCCACCTTCGTGATTGGATTTGGATTTCCAATTTGTAGGTTCAATGAACTTCCAACATGTCTCATTTTTGTGCCTGATTTTTTACAATGCTCGAACCATTATTGTTTTTGCCATTCTTTGTTAGTATCAACCCTTTTTGACACAATAGTCAATTTCTAATGTTCAATATTACCAGACGATTCGATGTTGTCTAACATTAATTTCTTCTGGACTCCTCACATCTAACATCAGAAAAGAATTCTCGAATTGAGAATAGAAGTTTCCTACCAAGGATTCGACCTTGGACTTCATCCAAACTCCGATTAAGGCCCCCTGAGAAAATGTAGACCCAGTCATTTTCTTCTCTTTTTTTGTAGCAAACATAATCATTTGAATCCTCCCAAATGTCATCATAACATTGATCAAGTTCCTTTGATAATGATACCAACTCATTGTAATATATAATAACATCACAATCATTTCGTTTAGATTTCTGAATTTGAGTTTTTAACTAAAAATTTTGCGAAGAACTATCCGAGCTGACTAGAGAACTCGAACTGCCTCCCAAATATCCCGAGCAGTGGAAAGGACTAAATGAGGCTTTCTTATGGTAGGTTCCATGGAGTTGATAAGTCATGCCCTCACTACAGAACTTTTGGATCACAATTTTTCATATTCAGATCACTAGCAATAGGTTTTGGAATTTCTCCTATTAAACAACAAAGTTTGTCTCTCCCGTTGATCGTCCATTCTATGAATTGAGCTCATTTGAAGTAGTTATGCCCATTAAGTTTCATAACTATGAGGTGGGCGATAAATTCCGAGTAAAATATTTAGTCGATATACCATGAGAGGAGCTACAAGGTGAGGTGAGATGGTTTCAAAATTATTGGAACTAGTCGATATCATAGAATTTTTTTGATTTCTTGTCATCATTGATGATTTGTATCGCATCCTTAAAATCTGAGAAAAAATAGCCTACATGTAGTGGCTACCTCAAGAAAAACAAGAAACACTCTAGTCTGGATAAGAGCTAAGCCTCGCATTACCGATGACAGAGGAAGGACAAAGAACACCTCAAGTCTCTGAATGTCACAATTCCATTTTCTGAGTGCCGCAATCCAGTCATAGCCTTCCCAGCGAGCTTTAATCACGACTATATTGCCTTCCCAACCGTGATCAAGTTGTTCCTTCACAGTCGCGATCTAGCGATGCCTTCCCAGCTGCGATCCAGTTCTCTGAATCCTGTGATCTGGTCATTGACTTACCCGTGGCCTTTAATTGTTGTTGCCTTGCGAAGTATTACCTAGAGTTGTGGTCCAGTCGTCGCCTCCCAACTGAGCTATACTCGATAATGTATGACGAGGGTCATGAAAGAGAGCCTGGACGGAACATGTTGACAATACCATGTGATTTTTGGGAGGGGAAAACTATAAAATCATAGAAGAAGATCACAAGATAAATAGAGGGGGATGACTGACAAATTAAAAAAGCAATAAAATTAGCCATAAATCACCATAATAAAAATCTAAACTGAAATTATGACATACCAATAAATTTAAATCCTAAAAATAGAAAATAATAATCTTCATAAAAAAATCCAACAACTGTGATACATTAGCAACTTATCAAAATCTTGTGAAGATTTTGATAATGATGTTACCAAAGAATGAATTTTGTTCGTGAAAGGTAACATAAGCAGAGATCATGTGCATGTTTGAGAGAGAAAAAACCCTTTTTTGCAAATGAGGGTATCCTAGAAATACAAGCCTTAATGACTTAGGGTCCAATTTAAAAACATGTAAATAATTGTCACAAACAAACAAGTACACACAAATATATGTGGTTCAATGGGAAAGAAATAGTTGGTTGGAAATAGAGCATAGCATGATATCTGATTCTGTAAAATGATATAAAACATCTAATTGATAAAAAATGCAGTAGAAACTGCATCAACACAGAACTATTTGAGTACATTAAATTGAAACAAAAGAGTTTTAATGGTTTCAAGAAGATGTTTATTTTTTTCTTTCAGCTACTCTATTTTGGGATGGAGTATCGACACAAGATGACTACTGAAGCATCTCGTTTTGTGACATGTATATCTGAAAATGTGCGAAGAAATATTATTTGACATTGTCACGTCTCAGAATGTAAATAGAAATATTGAATCGGGTTTTAATTTCAACACAAAAGAATTGAAAAGGTGATTATAACTAAGAACGATTTCAAAAAGTAAAGTCAAGTCATAAGAAAAATATTATCAACAAGTGAAAAAAAATCAAAATCATTAGATGAAACATGGCAAGGTCCCCATACATTGGAATGAAACAAATCAAAATTATGACCAACTCTTTTACTACTTTTAAGAACAAAAAATAAAAGATGTGTTTAGCAAATTGACATGATTCATAATCTAAAGATGATAATTGTTGAACCATAGGGTATAACTTCCTTATCATTGACAGTGATGGCTAACCTAATCGACAATGAACCTAAAATGGAGATAAAGTGTTGGAACAAACTATGAGTGGAGGTAGTTTGGTATCCAAAATGTATACCCCGATTCTAGTCCTTTACAAATAATCTTTTTTATCATAAGATTTCGAAAAAAATAATGACTGAGGACGAATAAGATACAACAATTAAAAGCACTTGTAATCTTGCTAACAAAGACAAGATTAAAAGACAATTGAGGTAAATTAACTGCATAAGTTAAAGGCAGTGTAAGTGTAATATAAATGGTGTTAGCACCAAGAACATTTGAGATGATCTATCTGCCAAGGTGCTGAAAGAAAGATATTTATGAAATGTGAAAAAGAGTTTTGGATTACCTGTCATGCGATCTGTGGCACTAAAATCAATGAATCATTATATGGAAGAGGAAATGAGACAACACCTGACTCAGATTTCTTGGTGCTTCCTAAAATTAGATGAATTTAGAATATTCATCTGCAAAAATCGAGAGTCTGACTTTGAAAGGCTTCATTAGTAATGATCATGGTTGACTGTGATCTAAAACTCTTCTGATTCT